GTTTGTTCAACGTTTGAGAAAAATTTTGGCGCAGCTTTATTTTGATAGACGTTTTGACTTTTTTTTAAAACTTTGAGCGAAGATATCTATTAACCACCAAGTCAAATCCGATGAAAGTTTTTTTATTTGCATTCTACAGATTCGTAGAATTCGAATAAAAAAAAATTCATCGAATTTGACCTGGTGGTCGACGAGATACCTTCGCTCAAAGTTAAGGAAACTCAAAATGTATTTTAAAACAAAGCTGCGCCAAATTTTTCAAAATTTGAGCAAAGATATCTCGACACCCACCAAGTCAAATTTGATGAATTTTTTTTATTTGTATTCTACAAATTTGTAGAATGCAACTAAAAAGAATGCCGCCTATATATATATATATAATATGTTTATCGTTATAATTTACAACCCTGGATTAGGTAGGTAGAGTAAGATTTTAGACCAAAATTTTTACCAAATTATGAGAGGAATATTTTTCGTTAGAGCACGAAAAGTGAAAAATTTATTGTAGGCAAGAAACAAAATCAATTTATATAAAACACTGATTAGCGCTTGAATTAATTTCGTTTAACGTTCTTTAAGCGCAGTGGGGATACTACATTGCAAAAATAATCCTATTATCATTGGTTCGTTCTACATTCACGTGACTTATTGAATCTCAACTGTCAAGACGTATTTGAAATTCCGATTGACTGAAGAAGAACGTAAAATTGTTATTATCTGCTATGGTTATGAGCATACGAAGAGAAATAAGCTCCAGGTTCTCTAACAATCAAAAAACAATACTCAGATAAAAAATTTTTTCTTGCCCTATCAGGATTAGAAAAATTTTTTTTTTTAGCATGCATTTGCGCCTACCTGCTACTATCGCATAAATACCCAATGAAATTACAAGTTTCAACAGCCAATCAAGTGGATAGTTTATCATCGATCGAAATTTCAATTTCAATAAATTCGTTATGTAACCCCTCGTTATTTCATAAAATGTCAAAATTATCCTTACAAAATGCTATTTTAACCTATGAACAATTAGAATCTACTCCTTCGAAAATTGATGAAATTCCTGAGGATCTCGAAGATAATCTGCGAAAACTTGGCTGTGATTTGATTCAGTCAGCAGGAATTCTTTTGCGACTGTAATGTTATTTTCGATTATTTATTATTTATAATATATGTTATATCCACTCATAAAATAATTAATAGGCCACAAGTAGCAATGGCAACTGCTCAAGTACTTTTCCAACGATTTTTTTATGTGGAGTCATTGAGAAAATCTTCTATCAGAGTTCATATATTTGCTATTAACTTATGTCGTGTTTGTTATATTGCTTGCCACAAAATTAAATGTATGTTTACAATTTAGGATATAGGCATGGGTTCTCTGTTCCTCGCTTCTAAGGTACAAGAATCTCCTTGTAAAATACGCGATTTGATCAATGTCTATCATTATTTGATGCAACGTTATCGTAATTTACCCGTGGAACCATTAGAATACTTTGGCTCGGTGAATGGAATAATCTTTTTTATTTAGTCGTCTTTCAATGATATTTATGTTTTTATTTGAACCATTCTTATAGATTCTAGCCAAAATACCATATTTTTAGGAAGTATATGAAATGAAAGAAGCATTAACAGTTGCTGAGATGCAAATACTTAAAAAATTAGGATTTAATGTTCATGTACAACTACCATATGGATTAATGGTAAATTACTTGAAAGTATTAGAACTCACTGAACATGAAACCATTCCGCAAAAGGCTTGGGGTTATTTAAATGACTCGCATGTATAAATATTTTAGCCAAATTTTTATTCCTATTATTTACAAGATCTGTTAAACAGTATATTTTAATTATAGATTACGAACAAATGTTTATGTATGTTATCAACCAGCAACCATTGCATGCGCTGTGATTTGGTTAGCCGCACGAGTAGCTCAAGTTAAACTACCCACGTCGCCTGCGTGGTGGGAATTATTTGAGTCTGAACTCGAAGATATCCTTTACCTTTAATTAATTAATTAATTGTTTATTTATTCATTCCTAATTTTCTTTAACATATATACACATATGGAAAATATTGCGCGTCATATTATGCGATTATATGTGCTTAAATTACCATCTGGACTACCCTTGACACTTGATGAGCTGGAGGTTTATTTAAAAGGATCTTCAACACAGACCTGATGAGTAATTAATATTACCTAAAGTAAGTTATAAATATTTATTATTAAAGTTAATGTGATTAATATTATATACTTACAAACTAAATTGATATAAATAAAAAATTAAGATATTTTAAAATAATAAATTTGAACATATAGTACTTATTAAAAGGTTTATATTTTAGCTAATAATAGCTTGTTTAATATAGTATTGTTATTTAGATATATATTTTGATTTTAGCCAAATATTAAAAATGTGTATATAAGAAACAAATATACTACGTACGTACGTACGTACGTAGGAAATACGTGCCCGGAGCGGCCAATCATAATTAAAACACGTGGGTGGACAGACGGACAAAATCGGCTAATGACTTGTCCTTCGCTTCGTTCCGGACAATAATATACTTTATAAACTAAAATCAAATCATAATTTGGGGGTGAGTCAGTAGAAACGCACCATGTTGTTTTTAATGAAATTTTTTTGAATCTTCAAACAAAAATAAATTAGC